CAAAAAATCGATTTGCAGGCAGAGAAGTTAAAATTCAAAAGTAACCAAAAGCAGTTCGTATTCAACGCCGAGCTTGAAGAATTAGTAGGAAAAATCAAAGAAGCAAACGCCCAGAAGGATCACAAGAAGGTGGCTCACTTAACGGATCAAGCCAAAGCTCTGTTGCACAAGAGACATATATGTTATTTGCCGGCTGGGAGGTCCGTATGGTGAAAAACTGTGACCGAGGTCTTGAAAATACTCTCCGAAAGAACCCGAATGATTTAGGGCTGTTAATACGGCAAGATCTTCCATAAACTGAACAATTTTTGAGCGAGTAAATGGTAGTTAAAATAGAGGTGAAGCAAATTAAAGAGAGATGCCTCAGCGAAACATTTTCATTTCCGTAACGATAAAGGTGATTTAAAAGGCTTCCAAAAAATTTTGAAACATTATTTTTACAAGTATCTGTCACAATCTGACACCTGTCAATTAGAGAGCGCGTAAGAAAAAAAAAATCATAAGAGCATTTGAAAAACAACGGAACTAGTTTGGCAAGGACTGTCACGACAATGTTTTCTTCAAAATCAGTCAATAATCTAACGGAAAGTATTATTCACTCTCATCGACGATTCATTCATGTACGAAGATTTACCTCTGTTCATTAAGTAAACGGCGAGGAAAGTTGAAGTTGTGAGAGTTCGCTCGTTTGTTTGCTGCAATGGCGTGTGTAAATCTGGTCTTTCCTTCACAAAAACTAAATTCGAACGGCACACTCCAACGAGACACAAGGGAATTTAATGCGGCCTTTTCTCAAAAAATTCCTTCAGTTTCTGTTGTGTAATTTACGGTACAAATGTCCAAATTGAACGGAATTGGAAAGACTCACCGGGAGCCTATATTTGTTGTAGAACTTAAATTAAAACTTTGCTCGCTCTTTCTCTACTAACAATTTTCTCGAGAAAATTCAGATATTAAATTAAAGTTCCATCGTTCAGTTTAACTGTAATCAAATACCTCACGTTTTAACTTTCTGGATACTTTTTGTGAACGATTAAAATTAATTGCAGACAGTTTTTAGGCCGCTTGTCAACCAACCTAATGACACTATTGTTTATACAAATTCATTCTGAAACCAATATTTTTCTGTCAACCAAAGTGATTTGAGAGAGAGAAAAGAGAGGATTCATAAGTTATTTATCGGCTTGAGGTAGTGACCGACTTGTTTGCTTTAAAATACTGCCCAGCCGGAAAACGAGGTATATTTATGAAAAATGACAACGAAAGTTGGGATGTACTCGGCGATTCACGAAAGCGTTACCGTGGCCCGTGGGCAGAGATAGGAAAATACTGACCGGGTAAAGAACCAATCAGATTGCAGGATTCGTTACCGTGCCCTCTAAAAAAACAATAAAGAAGCTTATCAAACTCGCAAACTCGAGTGAAGCCGGCTGGGACGCAGTTCAAGAATACGAATCCCAAGATATCGCCTCGGACGATGAGGACGACAAGAAAATTCGCAATGCTAGAGCCGCAGCTAATAGGAAAAGGAAACAGAAAGAAAAAGAACGACAGCAGCAGAGCAATAAGAAGCGTTGTACAACTCCCAACCTGGGCACGCAGGATCATCATCTTTTTCGTGGTATTTGTATCGCTATTGTTTTTACTTTATATTCTTCCTGTTATTCACTCAGGTGCTTTGTTATTTTCTTGTGTTATATATATTGGCTCTCCGTGAGTTACCAACCCATTTGACTGTGGTTGTCGTGTTGTGCAAGTTCCTATAACGGTTTAGAAAATAATTTTCATGTGTGCGAACGCAGTGAGTTAAAATGAAAATCCTGTTTCTAAGCGACTGAGTTTTGCGAATTCAAAATGAATTTGATAAAGTGGTAATTGACCTTCGGGTCTTGTGACTTGTGATTTCAAATCAAACTAGTGGGCAGCATTCGTTTGATTTTGAAATCACGCATACGATTTCAGACTAAAATTAAATCCACTCAGTTCAATTACCACTATATACCTTTCATAACCGATAGATTCTATGGAGAACAATGTACAAAACTGAAGACAAATGAGTGTGTTACGTGCAGCTCGTTCAAGAACGGAGCAAATCGTGAGCAAAAACTAGTGGACAGGACATGGGCAGTACGAATGAATGAGTTATTTAGTCCTTATGCTGGCACTGATAAGATTAACACGACATTTCCGAAGCTATGAACCTTCTACTAGAAGCCAACTCCCTTCACCTACTTTCCTGGTTAACCTTGTTACGGATTACACTTAGTCGTAAGAGATGTCATCAATCGTAATTTCAAAACCGTGAGCTTTCTTGTACCGAGATTTAAAACATAGCCTCACTATTTTAAGAACATTTGCCGTATTCGATCATAACTAACCAGAAGATGATCGTTTACAAGAAATAGAGGGAGCAAGTCGACTCTTTGTCATCCACAAACTTCTGAACACGTGGGATACATTACAATCAGGTTCTCCTCATTTATGTTTTCATAGTTTCTCGATGCTGCTGCCTCGACAGTCTTCCTTTTTATTGTTTTTTTAGAGGGCACGGTAACGAATCTTGCAATCTGATTGGTTCTTTACCCGGTCAGTATTTTCCTATCTCTGCCCACGGGCCACGGTAACGCTTTCGTGAGTCGCCGAGTACATCCCAACTTTCGTTGTCATTTTTCATAAATATACCTCGTTTTCCGGCTGGGCAGTATTTTTAAGCAAACACGTCGGTCACTACCTCAAGCCGATAAATAACTTATGAATCCTCTCTTTTCTCTCTATCAAATCACTTTGGTTGACAGAAAAATATTGGTTTCAGAATGAATTTGTATAAACAATAGTGTCATTACGTTGGTTGACAAGCGGCCTAAAAACCTTCTGCAATTAATTTTAATCGTTCACAAAAAGTACTCAGAAAGTTGGAACGTGAGGTATTTGGTTACAGTTAAACTGAACGATGGAACTTTCATTCATTTAATATCTGAATTTTCTCGAGCAATTTGTTCATAGTGAAAGAGCGAGCAAAGTTTTAATTTAAGTTCTACAACAAATATACGCTCCTGGTGAGTCTTTCCAATTCCGTTCAATTTGGACATTTGTACCTTAAATTGCACAACAGAAATTGAAGGAATTTTTTGAGAAAAGGCCGCATTACATTCCCTTGTGTCTCGTTGGAGTGTGCCGTTCGAATTTAGTTTTTGTGAAGGAAAGATCAGAGTTAAACACGCCATTACAGCAAACAAACGAGCAAACTCTCACAACTTCAAAATAAAAAGATTGAATTTACTCACAATTAATTTCCTCGCCGTTTACTTAATGAACAGAGGTAAATCTTCGTACATGAATGAATCGTCGATGAGAGTGAATAATACTTTCCGTTAGATCATTAACTGATTTTGAAGAAAACATTGTCGTGACAGTCCTTGCCAAACTAGTTCTGTTGGTTTTCAAATGTTCCTTCGATTTTCTTTTTCTTGCGCGCTCTCTAATTGACAGGTGTCAGATTGTGACAGATACTTGTAAAAATATTGTTTCAAAGTTTGTTTGGAAGCCTTTTAAATCACCTTTATCGTTACGGAAATGAAAATGTTTCGCTGAGGCATCTCTCTTAAATTTGCATCACCTCTATTTTAATTACCATTTACCCACTCAAAAATTGTTCAGTTTATGGAAGATCTTGCCGTATTTACGGCCATAAATCATTCGGGTTCTTTCGGAAAGAATTTCGTCAAGTTTAAAAACAATAAATATGTTATTTACCGGCTAAGGGTCGGTCCGTATGGTGAAAAACTGTGACCTCGGTCTTGAAAATGCTGCCCTCGGCCTACGGCCTCGGGCAGTATTTTCAAGACCTCGGTCACAGTTTTTCACCATACGGACCTCCCAGCCGGCAAATAACATATATAAATCCTTCGGTAGTTTTTCCTTATGCGCTAAAATGGCTCAAAAACGGCAAAAAAGACCCCGCTTGGAATAATATGTAACGCACTAGCGCACGATTAAGTTGTGTTCTCCAACGAGATATTGTGCGTCATCCAACTCCCTCTATGAACCAGAAATTCCAGGCTTTCCGAACAAAGCCGTTCGTGTGTGTGATACTGACAAATTGCTAATTAAGTCCTGATTACTGTATTGTGTTCATCAATGAAACACTTATTCAACCCAAGATGCACGAATATTTAAATAGCAGTGAATATGAATAACAATGCTCATATAAACAAAATGAACCCTCTTGTATTTCAATTTCGCAAAAGTATCGATAAACAATTGTTCGTCTCTTAAAAAGAAGTTATATGTAATTCTGTTGAACGCAAAGGTGGCCAACATCTTTAATAAAGGAAATGTGTGAAAATGTTAAATTGCTCGATGGAAGATAATACGACGAGATGTTTGAATAACAACCTACTAGAACAAGCGAATGACAATTGAAAATCAATTGTAGTAAGTGCGTGCTAGAGTCCGTATGAAAGTTAGAAATGTTTTGCTGAGAATCATGAAGAGAAAATTATTAAGCCGGCTACTAACTCACAGTTTTGTGAATTAGTTAGATTTATTCATCGAGCTTGTATATCAAAAAATTTTCTTTTCCTTTGACAAAGTTATTACAATTTTAATATTGCATATATGACTTAACATTAGAAAGAAAACGCAAAAATAGTGCGAATAACTCTCTCGTCGTGTAATCAGACTTATGTTTATATCTATTTCGAATGTTACAACTGAATAGATCCGCTGAACACGGTGGACCTTAGAAATTACCATTAACTGTTTTCCTGAAACTTGTTACTTGTTCCTATATTGGCCTCTGACGTGTCAGAACGATACGTCACTCGTCAAATGCTAATTTGGACGATTTTCGTGATTTCAGTTTCGGCGTCAGTGACAATTTGCCGGATGGAAAGCACATCAATATAGCATACGATATTGTGATTGAATAACTTATCAAAGACCAATAAGCGGTAGAAGCGACACTAATATTACGTTCTGATTTGAATCTAAAAGCTTCATTTCATCGATGTACATTGATGGGTACGTCAAATCGAACACATCCTTCAGAAAACTTCAACTGCTTTTTTCTAGAAGTGATCTTGCTCCATGCCAGCCATAAACCCTTGTACATCTCTACTGTGATTACGAGCATCATAAATGGTATAGCATTGGTGTTCGCCACCGTCGGAAACAGCATCATTTTAACAGTTGTACTCCGAACAACGGCCTTACAAACTTGTTCAAACCTTTTCCTTGGAAACCTGGTTTTATCTGATTTATTGGTTGGGGCCATGGTACAACCTCTTTTTATTATTTACAAAACAGGAGAAATACTAGGAAAGTATTCATGTGTTGCGCATGCATTGTTTTCGACATGCGCTTGGCTTTGTGCTGGAGTATCTTTCCTGACATTAACAGCTTTGAACTGTGAAAGACACATTGCTATCTTCGCCCCTCTAAGATACAAAACATTGGTTACATCGCGGAGCGTCATAATAATTTCTTTCTTCATTTGGCTACTGTCGCTCTTATTAGTTTCTTCGCGTTTCTACGGGTTCAGCAGTATCGCCTTCTACGCAGTCGGTTGTACCATCATCGTCATTAGTTTGATAACATTTCTCGTCATTTCAGTCCGAATTCATCGCGTTGTTCAACGCCATAGAAAGCAAATCGCGGTTAGCCATCCAAGCAATCTAGGAAGTTGGCAAAGACAAGCACGCGAGGCGGGACACGCAAGAAATGTAGCTTGGGTGACTTCAATCTTCTTCGCTTGCTACTTGCCAACCTTGATAATAATGATAACCTACACTATTGTTGGCTACACTGTCGAGTTAAAAACGGTTTATCTTTGGTCTGACGCGCTGGTGTTTCTAAATTCCTCTTTTAACCCTGCAATTTACTGTTGGAGGAACAAAGGTATTAGAAAAGCTGTCTTCAAAGTTCTTGATCTGAAAAGGAAGGCTTCCATACAACCTAACGAACAGGCTTCTCCAGAGTGTTCAAAAAGTGCGGGTTGCGTAATAGACAGTGTCAGCGATAAAATACCTTCCGCCCGGTCAACTGACCAATTGGGTAAATATAATTAGAGACAGGAATTAAAAGAAAATTAGAAAATGAAATGACATTGTACGTGACGTGTCAAGAATATGATCCGCTGACGACAGAGAGAAATATACCTCACTGGTGAATTATTTGTTTCCAGGTTGTTCCATTTTCTCCACGAATCTTTCAAACACCCGCCAAAATTTAATACTCGGAGTACTATTGACGTGGATATGTCAGGCAGAAAGAAGGACTTAGAATGTTGATCAAACACTCACTGATTTGTTTACAGTTTTATTTATCCTCGCAAAGGATGGATCGTAATACAATTGGACTAAATGCGATTTCAAGACGCCAATATGGCGAAATATTGGCGGCGTACTCTCTTACTACATGGCTGGCAGCGCCCGTGGGCAAGAGGAAACGAATCATCTGTTCTGATTGGCAACCCGAGCTGGTATGAGGGGCCCATCTTGCCAACTCGAGATTGCATGTTCAGATCCCGCTGGAAAAAATTGCGGGGGAACAGACTTTAAAGTAATTTTTAATTTTTGGACAACGTCGGCTGTGGAGTCGCAAAAAGCGGTAGAAGACTGAAGTAGAGAAAACATAAACGATTTCACGATTTTCTTGTTTTAAAAAAAGCGGAAAGTAGAAAAAATTCAACTATAAAGTTCTCGAAATATACAAGTTATTCTTGATTCTTATTTAAGCGAAATTTTTTCATATATAATAAATCTCTTATTGAACATGATTAATCGGTCAAGATGGCTGGATGTCCACCTCATTACTTTTCGGCGTTTCTATAGAATTGACTTTATCTCGGTCCATAAAATGCAAAGAAAGAACTTGGCCAATACCGCAGGCGGGAACCATATGGAAATTATGCAGATGGAAAATTCCTAGAGTACCTTTGGTATATTTCGCGTTCGTTACCCCTATGGTTTTTCATATTTACTTATCAACTCTATCAACAAGTTAACAGTTTCATCAAATTTTCTAACAACATCCGTCCTCACCTTATTTACACTACATAAGATTAAACACAACGTATTAAAATTTGCAATTCTTATTGCAAAAGAGGCTTGAAGCAAAAGAAAAGATCGAAAGGATTCCTGAAACCAGAATAGCATAACCCTTTCATACAGAACAGGTTTAGAAGATTTAACCATCTTTGTTTGTGATGAGCAGAAGATACTCGAATTACTAAATCGACGGTGGTTGAGTAGAGACACTACTAAACCTCTGTCGATTTTTTTTTACCACGATATCGTGGTCAAATAAAACACTCCTTTCAGTGCGTGACCATTGCATGACACGATGACGCGAGCAGCGTTGTCTGTACAACGGCAAATTGGTCAATCTGATTGCGACATTACAGCCAAAAACCAGCTGTCACTAAGAGTCTTTAACACTCTGACCCGAGCTTCTTACATTCTAAACCCTTTAACCCCTAAGAGTGACTTAACCTGTTTTATTCCTTGTAGCACTGCTCCTCTTTCTCTTAGAGGACATGACACTAATAACCTGTTCAAAAAGCATAAAGATTAGTAATTATAATTGTTATTTAGCTGGAATTTTTTCTTCCTTACAGCGGAAAAATAAGAGTACATATTAATAGAAAGGCACATAACTTTCCTTTACCTCAGTCTGCTGGAAGCGTTTAACGATAACTGCTGATGATGTCTCCTTGATATCATCTCCTGATTTTCTCTTCTTTCTTCTTCTTCTCTTTGCCATTGATAGACGCGTGTACAGATATGCTCGATATGCTAAGGATGTAGAGTGTTGAGTTCTTTCCAAGGGGGCATGATAACAATCTGAGTGGTTCTTCGAGCGGACAACACTGACGCTTAGCCGCCGTCTTACAGACGTATTTCGTAAATTGTCTGATTTTGTCTTCATTCAATTTCCAATGGCAAGGCGCAATGCACTCACTAAATTCCTACGCTCTCAACTAAATGCAATTTACAGTGGTAATCTCCAGGTTAAAAGAGCTTGTATCCTCTTACCGTAAGTGTTTTTGATGTACAACACTTCGCTATAATTTTGAAACCGAAAAAATTGTCTAGGAGAACTAAGAGATGAAAGGAATGAAACAAACATTGACTACTTCACACGTTTTAACTCTCTGATCTTTGTGAAGGATTGAGAAATCAAAAATGCTTTCTCAGACGGTACCTTGCGTTCAAAAGTTGTCTTAGAATTTCTTGTAAACAAGAGCAACGTTTTAAAGTGTTAAAAGACACAGCTAGTAGAGTAGTCTACCCTGACTTTACAACTGAATTGTAGCGGGACGCTAGAATGCATCAAACGATTCTGGTGTGTCTGGATCTGTTATATTGTCAGAGAGTATTTCGTTAAAGGCAGGTTTTTTTCGATACCGATAGGAGGGAATGACCTTACGCCGAAGCGCAGCGACTCTTTTGGTCTTGTGTGACCCCCTCGTATATTTACAAATACCCTATGTGTAAAGAACGCCTAAAACGAAACTAGACTTATCTTTTTCTGGGTTAATAAGATACATGAAAAACTCAGTTCTTATTGGTTAAGATAAATGCAGTTTTCGTGTAATTCAATGAAGAAGGGGTTTAATTCAGTGCAAAGAAGTAACAAACCAGACATTCTGATTGGTCAATGATCAAAGAAACTCACAGATAGCAAATCAAATGCGAGCCTTGGATATCGCAACATTTGGATACGCTGAAATTTTGCGAGCGAAACAATGGCCGGCGTTTTAAGCGGGTTTTCTTTCGCCACGATAACAACAATACAGCAGCTGAAAAACAGCTCTAACAACGAAAACACTGTAAAAAGCACTGCTTTTTGGTTGCCAGTTTGGAAAAAGTGGTGTTTAGAGAAGGGAATTGCCAAGGAAATCGAAAGCAACGAGCCGACTCAGCTTAACACTTTGCTTGAGCGATTCTACGCCGAAATTAAGAACAAATATGGTTAACCCTCGCAAACGACGATTCCATTTCATTGAAAGTGATTCGGACACAGACTGAACAATTCCTTGAACTGTTTAGCCGGACTTTAAACTTTTTTGTGCCTCAAAGATGTGAAAATATCATTGTATATTCTTGTTTTGATCGTACGCGGTTGTTTTGACTGAACACAAAATGTCACTTGCAGGGTTTGAATAAATTATTTTTGCACTTTATGCAAGCGCTTTGCTTCTGCATAATTATGATAAGCTATCTCGTATTTTTTCATGTACATTATTAATACGTAATCACATGGTTTTTCTCGTGCAATTTGGAATAAATAAGCACGAGTAAATTTTTTCAAAAACCACAAATTACACTCGGCCTACGGGCTCGTGTAATTTTGTTAGTCTTTGAAAAAATTTACTCGTGCTTATTTATTCCAAATTGCTCTCGATATCATGTGATTACCTACACAAATTACATTGATCTGAACGATACCTTTTTCCTTTTTTCACCTGACTTGATATCAAAACTCAAGTCTAATTCTAAAATTTCTAAAAATGTTCCGTTTTACCTGTTCATCGTTGAGTTGCCCCTATCACCTTTACTGTGTCATTAATACGTTCACTGCCAGTCTCTGTGACTACACCGGTCTCTGTCACTGTAATTTTATTGTGAGTGTCATTTTTTTGTAACTGTCACTGTCATCGCCACTATCTCTCTATGTCTCTGTCACTGCCTCTGACAGTGCCACTTTTGCTATCACTGTTTCTGTCACTTTCACCATCTCTAAGTCACTTAACTTTTATCAATGCCACTGTCTCTTTCAGTCATATTCACTGCCATTGTCTGTATCACTTCCAAAATCTGTCACTTTCAGTGTCACTGTAATGTCAGTGGAACTGTCACTTCCTGACTGTCTCTGTGATTGTCTTTGACTCTAACAAGGTCAGTCTCTCCTACTTTCAGTGTCTCTGAAACTTTAACTATATCTATCATGTCACTGTACTTGTCTCTGTAAAGGCCTATTTACACGGTACGACTTTGTCGCATGCGACAAGCTTACGACAGGCCTACGACACGAATTGTATCGTGTAAATCAAACCTACCACTCGCTTACGACTGTCGTGCACGTCACGAAAAATGTCGTAGGATTTTAAAACATGTTTTAAAACGCTGCGACAATCGTAGCCGAAATTGATAGAAAATGACGTATTTTGTGACAAAGTTCTACTGAGTAGGGGAGGAAGGTGAAATTTTCTTGCGTCAAAATGGCGAAGGAAGTCGCCTCCGGAAAGTCGAAGACTGCTTTCAAAGCGAAAAATACATTTTCAGATGAGGAAACAGAGAATATGATATCACTGTGGAGCGAGGAAGAGGTTCTTTTCAACAGCCGCCACAGAGACTACTTTAAAAATGACGCTAGACAAAGTGCAGTCAATCGCATTTTGTTGCGCCTCAATAAACAAGGTAAGCCCATGAAAACCGAAAGCAAATATACTTCAAGCCGTCATAATTTAGGGCCTATTCGCACTAGCAACTTTATTTAGACAAATTTCTGTCATCACCGACGTTTTACAAGTGTGGATGGTTTGTTGCGACTTGGGAAATTTTGGCCGAAGCGAGCTTCCAAAAGTTTATTTATCGATGACACTGATGACGCTCGAAGGCGGCTTGACCTGAGTTAAAGCGGACTCATTCGCGTTCTCAAGAAACAAAATATGCCTTATTGCAATTATCATCGCGAACAATAAGCAAAGGAATAACACCAGTAAGTTTTTCCTAAATTTGTCAGCCAAAAAGCATGACCGGCTGCCAGCTGCAAAGCAAGGACGCATTGGTGCCGTCAGTAAAGCATCATGACTGTGTCAGGAGACAAAATAGTTGTCCAACAAAATTGTCGCGACAAAATTCGTCGGTAAGATTTCCGCACAGCCCCATAGATTAATTACTGCATACAAGTTTCGACTCTATTCATATTAACTGTTTATGTGAAATAGAGCGTTTTCACTTGACGTCACGGCGGCCATATTGGTGTTCCAAAACAAAGAAACGTGGGCCATATTGGTGTACCAAACCAGTCCTTTGGGAGTTGAACTTTATTTTTATGCAAAAATGGTCTTTTGTTTGAGTAAACCAATATGGCGGCTTGTCAGGTGAGTGAAAACGCTCAATAGTATGAGAATGGCTGCGTGTATAACAAATGTATGGGGTTGTGCAAAGCATAGATTAAGAGGAGAGAGAAGGAGTTGGTCGAGTTGGCCACAGCTCCTTATTTTTTTTTTACAACGACTGGAACATGGAATGGTACTTGCTCTGGGTTTGGCTCTTGCTGCAACTGCTTCAGCCGTCTGTTTCTGACTCTATGGAAACTGATATATTAACATGGCCTGAATTTTTTTAGGTCTCACAAGTGAGGAGCTTCTAAAGAAAATGTCTGCCCTGCGTACATATTATGGGAAAGAAATCGGGAAAGAAAGAAGCAGCAGAACAAGTGGAAAAGGGACCAAGGACGTGTATGTATCAAAATGGCACTTTTTCACCTTCCTCCACTTTTTGAGAGATAACATAACCCCCAGGAAAACCTCAAGCAATATGGACACTTGCATTTCAGAGGAGAAAGAAAATGAAGCTGTGGGCCAGGATCAGCCATCTCAGCAAGCAACTCACCATGTTTCTGATGATGGTTCTGACCAAGGGAGTGTTTTCCCCACTAACAACCCTCCGTCAGTAAAAAACAAAAAAAGAGGGCATTAGCATTTGAGGATGAGCTTCTTTCCACTTGTTTAGAGGAAATGAAGCGCCCGAAAGAGGATGTCACTGATGCTGATATTGTGTTTGGGCAGTATGTCTCAAGACAACTGAAAAAAATACCAGAAGGGTATGCTAAAGAGATGCTGAAAATTGAAATTCAACAAAGTATTGTAAAAGTAATGTTACCTGTAGCACAGCCCTTGTCCAACCTTGTCACCTAGGCTTTTGATGACTTTAATGAAAAGTAATTTATTTTCTTCATTGTGAGTCAATTTTTGCCCTGAATTCGGTGTTTAAAAATAAATAATTTATTGGGACAAAATTTACAATTTCCATGATATATTTTTGTTAAAATTTAAAACTTTCGCATTCATGCCCATTTTATGAACAGTCTTTATGAAAACAGTACTTGTATAAACTTAAGACTGTTGTTATATAACTTTCAGTATACTAGAGAGGAAAATATATTTGTTAATGCATTTTGATCAGAGAGAATAAATACAAAGGTATTGAATTATTTATTAAATTTGTAAATATTGTTCATGCATGAACATATCATAAGTTGTAACACATTTTTTAGTCACTTTTACACTTAAAGTGCATATGAAGTAAAAAATTATTTTGTCTCATTTGAAAGGCCTTTAAAGAGAGAAGAATGGTGTTTTCCTTTTTGCAATATCTTCTTCAGTTCCAGAGATATTAAAGTTTTTACATTATGCAAATTAGATAACTGATGACGTCATCAGTCGTTCTAGTATGAAGTCAAAACACAAAATCAACAATATCTCAGGAAAGCCTGTAGTTGTGGAATTTCAATTGCAATAAAATATTACATACAACTGACTGTTCTATTTAAAAATATGGAGAAAAACCTCTCGGATTCAAAAGAAGACTTTGGTACATCTGTCACAATTGCATAAAATTTGCAATTTGCTTACTGTTTTAAAAGTTAAATTAAGACATTCCACTGCCATGGAACTTGGCCTGGACCATTGAGGTAGTTGCATAACTGGTCCCTCATTTCCTCTGCCTTCCTTGGTTGCCTTCCCTTTCGAGAATTTGGGACATTTGCAAATGGGATTGTAGCAACGTCATGCCTCCAGGAACCTTCATTTACCACACCATTGGAGTTCTCCATGTCAAGGGCCCCAGTGGGGATGTACCTTTCTGGAACTCTTGATCTTAAAAAGTTGTGCAGAGCTATTGCACAAAGGACAATATTGACAGCACTCTCTGGCTTTGTACATATAACAGTTGAAAATACCCCGAACCTGCTTGTCAAAATGCCAAAAACATTCTCACTGATCCGTCGTGCTCTGGAAAGCCTGTAGTTGAAGATCCTTTTCTCATCTGAAAGATTTCTCTGTGAATAAGGCTTCATGATGTTATTCTCTAGTGGAAAAGCATCATCTCCAGCTAGATAAAAAGGCAATGGATTTTGGGTGTAGCTGCCATCAAAAGATTTGTCTGCTGACTCAGGAAGCAATCTCGGCTGGGGTAAGCCAAGAGAGTCATTGACCAGAGCTTTCCAAAACAGGCTGTTTCTGAGTACACCACCATCACTTATTCTGCCTTGACAGCCCACATCAGCAAATATAAATTTGTAATCTGCATCTACAACTGCAAGCAACACAACACTGAAGAAACCCTTGTAATTGTAGAATTCAGAACCAGAGTTGCGTGGATGGAGGATACGTACATGTTTTCCATCAGCAGCACCAATGCAATGCGGCAACTGCCAACGGTCATGAAACAGCTGTGCTATTGGTAACCACTCCTCTGGAGTACTTGGGCATTTGAAGTAATCGTCCTTAAGGACCTGAAAGATGGCTTGACACACTTCTGGAATAATGACTGACAGGGATGGCACACTGATTCTGAACTGGTACTGAAGACTGGAAAATTTCTCTCCAGTAGCCAAAAACCTCAAGGTCACTGCCAGACGTTCTCCAGGTGGTATTGGCTGTCTCATGTTGGTCTCTTTCTTTTCAATTAACGGTGTCACTTTTTCAAGAAGGTTCTAAAAATTTAAAGGTAGATTTAGCAAAAGATCAACCAATTTTGCCATAACATAATTAAGTAAAATATCAGCACTTGGACAACATTTTACACACCCAAGATAAAAGGTGACAGTCTGTTTTGCCCCCCTGACATAATTATAAGTAACATATGACAGGAGAATAAAACAGTAACCTTTGAATGCTAACTCAACCTGGACAAACTAAAAGACATAATATTTTTATCTAGTAAAATTCTACCTCAATACCAAATATAGAATTTATATGGTTTATTCCCCAGACCTTTGCATCAATGCCTTTCATTTCAGACTGAATCTTATGAAAATCGATACAATTAAATAATCAATATTAATTAAAAGATTAATATTAATTCATACTGATGTTAGCATACTGATGATCGATTTTCATAGAGGATGAGTATTACCATGCTGTGCCCAGCCGGCAAGCAACAGAAATGGTTACTGCAATTCAATTTCAATAGCTTATCAATGGACTCACTCATATTGTCACGGGGGGGGGGGGGTGGTACTTGCAGTATACATGGCGAGGGGGGGGGGGTCTGACATATTTTTGCGATTGAAAATTTACACCCGTGGTATTTTGTGGATCAAGAGACCTGTCACAATTTTTTTGGTCTTAAAGTCTGTTTGACTGTAACAATTTTGCCTTGTATTTTTTTGAGTGTAAAATTTCGGGTTCATGTACTATTTTGGGTTTGCAATATGAAGCTCCATCGACCCCCCCCCCGTCATCTATACTGCGAGTATTCCTCCCAGTCCAGTTTCTCACTGAATACTATGATATTTTTTTCAAAAATTTTGTCAGGGTGGAATTTTTGTCCCGCCAAAAACAATGTGGTACGTAACACTACCATTCTCACGGTGGACAAGCAATAGGAATGCCATCAACACAAGGTCCTGACGATTTTTACTAAATCAATCAAGGGAAAATGAACTCCAGATAATATTCAACTTAGATCACAAATTCCTTTCTCCTTTCGTAAAGTTTGTAGAATGCAATGTAACCATGCAATGTTAACTGTGTAACTGAACAGCTGAACTATTTTGTCAAAATCATTTTTCAATATTGTTATTGCAAACGCCAACTTGAAAATTCGGTCAGTGTATTAAAAACGCAGTCTGCAGGGGTAAAATGCAGACCGAGGAATACTACTACAGAAATCACTTTTTGTTAGCACCTCTTATAAAACGAGTCCGAGGGGTGGCGAATGGCCTCTAAAAATGTAAAGGTCTCGCAAAATTTTTGTGAAATTTCAAGGGTTTCGCAGTCTCGTTTTTTGAGCGTTTCTGAAAGTCTTAAAAGTCTCTAATTTTTTGCGAAGCCGTTTTGGAGTCTAATTCTCGGCCTTGCAATCCAAAGACCTCAAAAAGTCTCGGTCTCGAAAAGAAAAACGCTGGTCTCGCCGTCTCGCAAAGGCTCGTATTTACCATTCGCCACCCCTAGTTCGCACTTGAAGGGCTTGCTTGCTTGACTTCAGGGCCCAAATATTTCGCACGACCGATCACGATCAAATAAATTTTACCCCGACACAAATTACACTAAACGCTAAAATTACGAATATCCATGAAAACCATAATCTGAAAATGTCTTTCACAGTTCAAAAAAGCGCCAAAACACCCACTGTACGTGTTTACGAAGTAAGGAAAACCATTTAACCTCACCTGAAATGTTTCCGTGTCCATCCGTAAGTATCGCCTGTAATTACACTCGTCCTCCAGCCTTAACTCCTCTAACAACTGCCTAAAAACCCCTCGCTCCGTTCTTCTTCTTAGCCATTCCCTCTCCCACACTTCCTTCACCTTTCTCTTCTTCTTCCTTCTCTTGCAAATTATTGAAACAATGACCGCGGCCGAAACTTTTCGGCTCTCGGCCATTTTGTTTGTTGCTATCCCCAGTCCACCGGAGTGGAATTGCACGCGATTTTGGCATGTCGTAGGTGAAAATGTCGTGCGCGTGTAAATTGTCCTAAGTCATGTCGTAGGCCTGTCGTAAGCTTGTCGCATGCGACAAAGTCGTACCGTGTAAATAGGCCTTAAGAATGTCAGACAACTCGCCCCATGGACAATTAGCCCCCAGTCTCTGGACGATTAGCCCCCAGTCTTTGGACGATTAGCCCCCAGTCCCTGGACGATTAGCCCCCAGTCTTAGTTTATGTAAAGGAGAAGTTACGTTCATCTGTTGGTCATTGACTTTTATGAGTTTGTGGCTCCTAAAGGAGCCGTTTTTTTTTGTGAATATCTATCTTTATTAACATTTACTCAGTTTAAATTACATGGGTTGTACGAGGTGAGCGCATGCCTCCAGAAGCTCCTTTGAATTCCTATTGCCATTTTCGAATTCACTCCAGAGGTCAAAGTGTCTTCTCTGTAAGGTCCTGTAGGTCGAGCGCTGATGCCTCTTCAGCTTTTTGTCTGAAACCAGACGGATTTGCATGCTGACCAGTGCAGCTTCCCGGTGAAGCACCTGGATTAGGATGTACAACGGAAGCTGAGATCGTCCTTTGGCGCGCCGGTTCAAGCCATTGTGCCAACCCTCTAAGTCGTTATTGGTCCTGACCGCTTCCAGGAATACGCTCCAGGTCTGTGGCGGGAAGGTCTGACTGGTTATCCAGTTCTCTTCGATGTAGCTACAGAAATCCTGCAAGGGTCTGACAGTTGCTTGCTGCTGGAGTCGACGGAATCTGCGTTCGATCTTGTCAGCAGGGAGGTACGATAAAGCCATCAGTTGCTTTATTAGCTGGTGGGTGCCGCGGTCATTTCGGTAGGCATCCTGGAGTCAAAGCCCTTGTACCTATAAAAGTAAAGCGAAATTTAACATTTTGTTAGCTAGATGTTAAACTAGTTTCGTTTTGAACATTGCGCGAATTTGTATTTGCTTAACTGACCTGTGGTCCCAGATTTCAGAAAATTCGAAAGCCCGAGAAATTATTTAGAGTTAAGTCTGTATAAATAACTTTCACAACTGTCATTTCGTTGAATACCGTCATACCGTTACCGTTATACTAGTGAATACGAAATCGTTACGAAATTTAGAAGTGAACCCTTTTAACACTTTTAACTATAGCTAGAATAAAGTGAATCATTGCCGATTTTAGTTTGACCAATCAGTGATTTAACAGTTTGAGATTGTACCTTTCGCCATAGGGCTTGTGTCCAGTGGAATGAACACCCTTTAAGCTGAACGCCTGGGAGGGTCTGTCGGAGTGCGCTCCAAACAGCTTTTTCGAAGTCCAGCATAACCTTGGTGACTCTCGGTGGAGAAGGGAGGATGGATATTACAACATCGAGGACCGCCTTGTAATCTCGCCGTTTTTTGCCTGACATTATGACGAAAACCAGAGGCACCTGACATAGACATAAACATAGACATGGTTTTTTAGTTGACGAAGACTTATCTAACACAGAGCTGTACGCCCATATACTTAAAAAGTACAAGGGCGTACCGTTATTTCAAAGGGACGCCAAAAGCTACAGTAACATAATAAGTGCAAAGATAAAATGTATCACCTGCTTCACGTGATCGTCGTTCTTTACAAAGGCGTTAAGGGTCAGGAGCTGAGTAAACGGCTGGCGGCAAAGTTTAAAAGTTCCGTCTATGTACCACGTCTTAGACTGTTGGAGCAGTTCCAGCTGTTTATCTGAAGCAAACACCAGGTGACGGCGCCCTCGTATCTGAAACACACGATAAAACATTCGGTTATTAATCGACTAGAAAATGCACAATGTTCATAATTCCGTTAAAGAAATTTGTAAGCGATTATAGAAACCAAGAAATCAATTATTGCTTGAAAGTTCTATTGAATGAAAAGATTTCTAATTTAAAACGAATGAAAAGATTCCTGAACTAACACGAATGAAGAGATTCCTGAACTAACACGAATGAAGAGATTCCTGAACTAAACGTTAACGGGCACGGCTATTCAATCTTGACGAGGTCGAACTTGTTCTTTACAGGAGATACACATGGTCAGATAGCTGGAAGACATCGTATTGAAGATCGCGGTCTTTTGTTGCTGAATAAGCTAATACGAGTGTCCACACTTGAATGATCCCTTTTATACACATCCCTAGGATCAAGATTTTGACTTCAAACGAAACACGCAATTTGATTGGAGGAATCGTCAATTAAAGAAAACAATGAGCCCTGAATTGGGATGAATGAAATGTCTCACGTCAAATTTGCATAAGTTCGCACATTGCGCGTGGGTTTAAAATAAACAATGAAACACCAATTAGTAAAAGTTCGCACATTGTGCGTGGCTTTGAAAGAACATTGTTTATTTCAAGGTTAGTGGGTTGGGGGCTAATAGTCCAGGTACTGGGGGCTGATAGTCCAGAGACTGGGGGCTAATCGTCTGGGGCTAATTGTCCATGGGGCGAGTTGTCCGGATACCCTCTGTAACTATCACTAACAGTTTCACAGGCATTGTCACATTCATTGTCTCCGTCATTGACACTCTCCCGACACTCATTCTGTCTCTGTCTAACCACTACTTGCTCTGTCACTGTTTTTGTTTCAGTAATTGTCTGTATCACTTTCACTTCACTTCTTTATCACTTTCTCTGTTAATGTCACTTTCCCTGTTACTGTGAACGTCAGTGTCATTCGCATTTTGTGACTGTCTGCCATTGTCAGTCACTATCAGCTTGTAACTTTCTTATGACTGTTACATCTTTGTGACTGTCACAGTCCCTGTCAATGTTTCTGTCACTCATTGTTTCTGTGTTTGACTGTCGCTATGTCTGTTACTGTCAACTCAGTGTCATTGTTCACTTACTTTTTGGCTAACAAGTCATGTTCACTGTCTCTGACAATGAATCTGGCTCACGCCATCACTACCATTATCAGTCTCTATTACTGTCTTTCTCCCTGCAATTGTCACACCCACTGTCACTGTCTTCCTCCTTGAAATTTTTTATGTCAATATCATAGCCTCTTTCACTGTCTCTGAAAGTGTCACTAATACCGTCACTAATATTGTCTCTGGCACTGTCTGTCACTATCACTTTCACTGCTGTGTCATTGTAACTTCATCATTGTGACTGTTACCTCTTTGTGACTGTCTGTCACTTTTGCTGGCAGTCTTTCAATCTCTTTCACTGTAATTCTGTGTCATTGTCAGTGTGACTGTCTTGGTCTCTGACACTGACAATCTCATGACCACTGTCACTGCCACTGTTCTGTCAGTGCCACTGTTCTGTCAGTGTCACAATCAGTATTATGGCCACTGTCACTCTCAGTTTGTCATTGTCAGTCTTCCTTCTGTCTTTCTCACTGACACTGCCATTGTTTGTATGATCATTGTTTCCATCATTTGTCATTCTCCCTCTCACTATCAACTTTCTGTGACTGTCTACCACTGAAAATTTGCTGTCAGTCTTTCTCATTGTTACTGTCTCTAACTCCTTCTTGCTCTCACTGTCACCATTAAAATGACTGTCCTGTCATGGTCAAGATCACTTTCACTGTTACTATCACTGTTAATTTCAATGTCACTTCATTACGACCGTCGGTGACTGTCACTGTTCTCTCACAATGTCACAGTCACTGTCTCTGACTCTATCACTATCACTGTATCTGTTTTTGTTATGATCATTTTCACTTTCACCTCAGTCTTTATCTCTGTCACTAACACTCCTCTTGTCCCTGAATGTCAATTTGAACGTCAGTGTCAGTCTAGTTCACTGTCACTGTCTCGGCCACAATCTCATTCATTGTCTCTCTCAATGTATTTTCATTATTTTCGCCAGTCACTTACAGTCTCTGTTAACATCACTGTTATGGTCAGTATCACCATTACTGGCACATTCAGTGTCAATGGCAATTTACATGTCACTGTCTTAGTCATTGTAGTTGTTACAAACACTGTCACTTTTCTGTCTCTGTCACAGTGAAAGTTACTGTTATTGTCAGTCATGGTCATTATCACTGTCCTCTCTATCTCCATTACTTTTTGTGTTACTGTCAGTGTCAAAGTAATTTCATTATCACTGTTTCGATCACTGTCACCGTCACTTTGCCTCAGTTTATAAGATAGCACCATCTCAACGATTCCAGTGTTCACAGAGGGTATATTCTGGTTGGATTTTATTATGGGAAATCATTTGAGGGTGAAGAGAATGACCTCTCCTAGGTATTGCACAGACAGAAAGAAATAAGTCAAATAATTTTAACATGAACTTAGACTGTATGAAAGTGATATTACAGAATGAGAGTATTGTAATGTGGAGGGTTGTGTGAACAGGTAGGTTGGAGAGAAGAGTTAACTAAGGAAAAATGGGGTTTTTCTTGAAAGTGATTATGTTCAAGCAGACCAAGTTCAAGGGTAATTTCAAAACACCTACATTCTTAGGAGAAAATAGAGGCTACTGAACCTGTTTCAAGTATAATCAACGAGGGTTACTAATTGCTACTGCCTACTATCCCCTTTCAGTTGCCTTGTAAAATAACAAGTTTGCTTTCCATAATCAAGATTGTTTCCCAGGAAAAAAAAACAAAAGGTGAGAAAGTGCTGAGCTTCACTTGGCAAGAGCTTAAAGCAGTACACAATGTTACTATCTGATGATAATACTTTGGAGGGACTCAAGGTACTATGGCACATACAATGAGAAAAACACATGAATAATTTGTAGTGGGAAGCAGTTGTATAGTAAAAGACATTGTCTATTTGTCTAAAAAGCACAGTATTGCAGTTTTTCCCCTCTGGCTACCCTGGGAGGAAAACCACCTTGCTGATTACCTTAGTAAGCTCACACACAGGGACAACTAGGGAATTAACCCTCAAATTTTCCAGTGGATCTCATCAATGGGGGGACTCTTTTCTATCAATTTGCCTTATAGAATAAAGCTAAATGCAATCAATACAATTCCCATT